TAATAGAATTTGTTATGAAGTCTTGTTTGTTGTCATGAAAACTGAAAAAAAAAACCCACTGAAAGGTTAATGCATTTTCCTTCATTTTTCTTGGAAGGAAACATAAAATCTTAAAAAATAATAATAATTTAAAAAAAAATAATTATACCGATATTCAGATGATTTGCTCCAAAAGTTACAAAACAAACTACAGGTCATTTTGTTGGTTTGCACTGGTCCTAATCATGCAACTTAGAAGCATCAATTAGGCTGAGCTCTGGGTTAATGAAAACCCTGAGTGGTGTGTTTCACCACAGCCCCCTTAAACCAGCCATTACTGCAGACCACAGAGGCTCTGATAGCACGCTGTTTTATGAGCCAGCATTATGTGGGCAATAAGTTCCCTAAACCTCATTGTGCAAAAAAGAAGGGCACATTGTGGGATCAGGGAAGCAAAGTTCAGACAACACACAAAGACTTTTTCTAAGTCTGAGATGTTTGTCTGTAAGCCCCGAAAAATTGAATGAGGGTACTTCTTTTTCTTTTTTTCTTTTTTTTTAAAATTCCAAATTACAAGTTTTACATCACAGACTGGAATATAACTGCAAGCCGTGATTGACGTGCTGAAGCTAATGATCAGAGGGAAAACTAATGCTATGAATTAGACACAGAGCTGCTCCGTGGATGGGAGGGAGGTAGTGTAAATACTCACTCATCACTGATGGACTCGGTGTTATTACATGTTTACAAGATTAGAAGAGCAAAGGAACAGGATACAAATTAGGAACTTCAATCAACAGGTACGGGGATTTTAATCAAAGAAACTGGGATTGGACAAAATGTGAAAATTTCTTTAATAACTTTTAAGTTGCTACAGAGAAAAATCTTGTTTTGGAGCAATTCAGAAGTTGCATTACACCTTTGTCTGTGAGGGGAGAGCACGTCATAGAAGGTCAACAAAAATCTCAGAAAAATTCCCCTCAAAAAATTCTTGATTGTTTATTGCAAGAAGCAATGGCAACTAGATTTGTATAACTCAGCATGAACGAAGGCCTAAACAATTTAAAAAAAAAAAAAAAAAAGGAATTTACATTGTCAGAAGAAGAGCGAACTTAAAGACATGCACCAAACTGAACCCTCCAATGATGACAACAATTATAAAAAAATCTATGAGACAACAAACTGCAGCTCCTGTCTAGAGACTTCTATTTAAAAACTAGGAACAAGATCAACGGCAGGG